ATGCTTGATACAGTGTCAGGCCATCTCAACATTAATTCAAGCTGGTTTGGTTATAAACCCGGTCACATGGATTGACAACCAGTCGTTGGACCATATGACAAAAGGGTAATGCTAAATGATAATGTACAGAACTGAAGTGGAGAGTGTCCAGTAGAGTAGCATCAGAGTTCAGTGTTAGGGCCTGTTTACTTTAACCTTTTCATTAATGATCTAGAAGTGGGGATAAAGAGCATGCTAATGAACCTCACAGAAGATGCTCAGCTGGGAGGTGTTGTGAATGCCATTGAAGGCTGAAGAGGAAAAGGATCCAGAGAAGTTTCGCGTATGGGCAGAAAATAACAAAATGAAATTTGATCTGGAGAAATGCATCGGAGGAAAAATAATCCAAAGTATAGTTATTCAAAGGGAGAGAGAGGAACTTGGAAAGCAGCAATGTTGAAAAGACTGTGGATGATAGAAGACAACATGAGTGGGGCATGTAGCGACTATACATACATATGTGTTCCTATCACTTTTAGCTCTGTCCTCAGTTTCTTCATTTGTTTGTTGTGCCTGCTTGTTGCATTCTCTCTTAAATTAGATTGTAAACTCTCCAGGGCAGGGACTATCTTCTACTCTGTGTTTGAACAGCAACCAGTGAAATTGAGCTCTAATCCTGATTAGGGCTTCTAGGCTGTACTGTAATACCATATAATAATACTCCTTAATAATGGACCTTGCAGTACATTATTGCTGCAGAAAAGTCCATATACTTTTGGGCAGCATACTCAGAAGCATGACATCACAGAACTGGAAGGTAATAAGCACTCTGCATTCTGGTGTCATCACACCTGGAGCAGTGCATTCAATTCTGGGCATGTCACTACTAGAAGCATTTTGACAAATCAAGGGAATCCAGCAATTAAAATGATCCATGGGCTAAAGGGACTGGCTTGTGAGAAATGTTAAAGGGGCTAACTGTGCCTCCTGTAGTTTGGCTAAGCCATGAGTAAGGTGCGGACCTGAAAACAAGAGCTGGGTGGAGGATGGAAATTCCATTTCATTAAGGATTTAAACGTTTGTCTTCATTCTGATTAGGAACAAAACATGTAAATTTCCAAAATTCTCCACAAAAGAAAGTTCTGGGTGGTGGAAATCATTTTGGGTCGATTGAAATGTTTCATCTTTGCAAAATCAAGATGTTTCGTTTTGATTTCTTGTTTTTAGTTTTATATTATTTTATAAATAATTCACAATGAAATGTCATTTCAAAATGAAAAATTGAAACATTTCATTCCAGAAATGTCAAAACAGGGCATTTCAACATTGTCAGTACTTTTTCTCTCAGTTTTTCACAGAAATTAAAATTTGGCAAATTTGACACCAAGCATTTTGACTTCAGTAGAACTGCATTCTCTAACTGAAAATGGTTCCATCGAAGATTTTCCAACCAGCTCTACAATTATGAAATCTCATAGGGTTGGATCCAAAGCCCATTAAAGTCAATAGAAAGACTCCTACTGACTTTAGATCAGGACCATCAATCAGCATCAAGGAGAGAAAGGAAATTATTTAGGGTGGTAAATAGGGTATGACTAGAAGTAATGGGATAGAATTAATAAAGAGAAAATTTAAGATAGATATCAGAAAGTCTTCCTCACAGTGAACCTTGCTGGTTGTGAAATAGTCACCCATGAGGCGTGAAAGCCCCATTGCTTGGAACCTTCAAAGTAGAGTGGAAAGAAACAACATAGTCAAGACCAAGCATGCTCTGGCAGTGTGATGGCTTCCATAGATGACCTAATATGTTTCAACATCTCTGAACCTGATTTTATGTATCACAGGTGTTTAAACAGAAACTGTTACCATGGTGTGTCCTGATACCAAAGTATGCTATGAAATCATAATTGGCGCAGCAAACACACAGTCCAAAGCATATAAACTGTGAGAAAACTGGTACCAAAGATCTTCTAAATAGTGGAAAACATATTTGGGATGGAGTAGATTTTAATATCCAGAAAAATCACTTCTGCAGCTATTTTATGGTATGAACATCTCTGCACATTAGCAGTACATCAATATTTTCTTTATATTTAGCAATAAATTACAATCATTTTCTGAATTACGTAATCTTGGTCAGACTAGCAGGATTGTAATTGTCTGATTCATAATTTGTAATTTGAAAATACAAACAGCTTTTGCACCATTTATGACAATAGAAAATCCTTCTGATTGAATTCTAGACCTGTGTTTGGTCCAGAGTTTATAATGACGGTACTGCCTTCTGGCATTTGCACTAGGCAAGGAGAACTTTGTTTCATAGAATCATAGAATATCAGGGTTGGAAGGGACCTCATCTAGTCATCTAGTCCAACCCCCTGCTCAAAGCAGGACCAATCCCCAATTTTTGCCCCAGATCCCTAAATGGCCCCCTCAAGGACTGAACTCACAACCCTGGGTTTAGCAGGCCAATGCTCAAACCACTGAGTTTGAATGTGGGAGGTTCATTTGACTGTGAGGAAAACTATAATATGCTCTAAACATTCTACATGGACAATAATGCTTTTTTGGTTGGTTGGTTGATTGATTCATAAATGATGTAACTCCTTTTGCAAGGGTAAGTGTGCTTTAGAGAATAACAAACTATGGTCTGAATCCTGCAAACACATGCATGTGCTTAACTTTAAGCATGTTAGTAGTCCAAATGACTGTAATGGGAATTACTCCTGTGAATAAAATTAAGCACACACACAAGCTTTTGCAAGATCAAGATTGGTATACACATATAAGGCAGGTTTCAGAGTAACAGCCGTGTTAGTCTGTATTCGCAAAAAGAAAAGGAGTACTTGTGGCACCTTAGCGATTAACCAATTTATTTGAGTATAAGCTTTCGTGAGCTACAGTTCACTTCATCGGATGCATACTGTGGAAAGTACAGAAGATCTTTTTATACACACAAACCATGAAAAAATGGGTGTTTACCACTACAAAAGGTTTTCTCTCCCCCCACCCCACTCTCCTGCTGGTAATAGCTTATCTAAAGTGATCACTCTCCTTACAATGTGTATGATAATCAAGGTGGGCCATTTCCAGCACAAATCCAGGGTTTAACAAGAACATCTGGGGGGGGGGGAGGTTAGGAAAAAAACAAAGGGAAATAGGTTACCTTGCATAATGACTTAGCCACTCCCAGTCTCTATTCAAGCCTAAGTTAACTGTATCCAATTTGCAAATGAATTCCAATTCAACAGTTTCTCGTTGGAGTCTGTTTTTGAAGTTTTTTTGTTGAAGAATTGCCACTTTTAGGTCTGTAATCGAGTGATCAGAGAGATTGAAGTGTTCTCCAACTGGTTTTTGAATGTTATAATTCTTGACGTCTGATTTGTGTCCATTTATTCTTTTACGTAGAGACTGTCCAGTTTGACCAATGTGCCAGCAATGCCCCTCTGCCATGTACATTGGTCAAACTGGACAGTCTCTACGTAAAAGAATAAATGGACACAAATCAGACGTCAAGAATTATAACATTCATAAACCAGTTGGAGAACACTTCAATCTCTCTGGTCACGCGATTACAGACATGAAAGTTGCAATATTACAACAGAAAAACTTCAAATCCAGACTCCAGTGAGAGACTGTTGAATTGGAATTCATTTGTAAATTGGATACAATTAACTTAGGCTTGAATAGAGACTGGGAGTGGCTAAGTCATTATGCAAGGTAACCTATTTCCCTTTGTTTTTTCCTTACCCCCACCCCCAGACATTCTTGTTAAACCCTGGATTTGTGCTGGAAATGGCCCACCTTGATTATCATACACATTGTAAGGAGAGTGATCACTTTAGATAAGCTATTACCAACAGGAGAGTGGGTTTGTGGGGGAGGAGGGAGAAAACCTGAATTTGTGCTGGAAATGGCCCACCTTGATTATCATACACATTGTAAGAAGAGTGATCACTTTAGGTAAGCTATTACCAGCAGGAGAGTGGGGTGGGGGGAGAGAAAACCTTTTGTAGTGGTAAACACCCATTTTTTCATGGTTTGTGTGTATAAAAAGATCTTCTGTACTTTCCACAGTATGCATCCGATGAAGTGAGTTGTAGCTCACGAAAGCTTATGCTCAAATAAATTGGTTAGTCTCTAAGGTGCCAAAAGTACTCCTTTTCTTTTTACATATAAGGCAGTACCTGAGCCTGCATTCCTCAAATATTCAAAACTCCCATTAGGATCACTTCATCCACTATTAAAAGGCAACCACCTTTGTGATGGGACACAGCTGCCATTATCTGTTGGTGCCAGAACCACTACACAAGATTTGAGGGACAGGAAGAAGAGGAAGAATGTGTTATCCACCAAAAGGAGCAAGGCGATTTAGACAGATGGAAAATAATTATCCACACTGGGATGTGCTTAGGACACTGGGAGGGGAGATCAATAATAATAACGTATACATTATATTTAGAGATATGCAAGCATGATATTTTAGGTGAATGAAAGATTGAATTGATTTTAGTATATTTTCAAAACTCTTTGGGGTTAGCCACATTGGCATAGCAGAAAATAGTATTTTAAATTATTGTATATAAAATATGTGTAAACATAATACGCACACATCTGCACAAAATGGTAGATTGTGCTACTAACGTGAGAGTAACAAGAAAATAGTATGTAACTGAAAATGAAACACCCTTACAATTAAGTAGCCTAACACTTGAATTAATTTTATTTTTTTCTTATATCTCTTTGCATAATCAATGTAAATAAATAAATAAGGCAATGTTTTTAATCCCTAAAAGGAAAAGCAATGCTACCGCGTAGCACTCATTTGCAACCTTACAATATCAACCCATTGCGGATGCTAGCGTGGGGCCAAAAACCTGTTAAAACGTAATTTCCATGAAAAACTGAAAACAATTTTCCTGAATTTTTTTTGAAAATCTGTTTTCTATTTCCCCACCAGTTCCAGTACACATACAATTGATGGAACATAAAGTTTATAAATCATGAAGAAAATGTCTTACCTTACACTTTAAAACTTACAATTGTTTCACATTAGTAGCCTGTGATTGAAGAGAAGAAAAACCAACATGAATGTGTGCCAGTGGAGCTAATATCTTAAATATTAAGATTTTGGAATTCACATTTGCAATAGGTGAGTAATACTTTTAACATTCACAGCTTGCGATCTGTGTTGCTGCAAAATGGAAATACAGTTAATGTAACTTCGGATTTTTGATATGTCTGGAAGAAAGATGTGATTTCTGGTAAAATATTATTTTACCAGATTAAGATTTTGTTGAATGTTTCAGTGGAGCTATGCAGATTTACATCAGCTGAGAGTCTGCCCTATACACTGATGTTTGGAAATACTGGAAAAAATCTATTTAAAAGAGTCCCCAACTGTAATGTTTTCTTTATTGTTCTTCCCTCATTATTGCACTATTATCACCACTTGCATGAAAACAGGGTCTATTGGTGGAGAGCTCGAAGTGCTAGAGCTAGAGCTATCAGTACCGGGCAATTGTTCATTTGCAATCAGGGCTCTTTTATGTGAGGCTCTACAGGGTTCCATTCTATCAGCCGCCCTATTCAACATGGTTGTGAGCCAGTGGGAGTGTTGGCAAGAGGCATGGGGTTTGGAATTTCAATATACAGAGGGCACAGTTCTGTATCTCCATGATCTCCTCCAACTCATTTGGTACACATGAGTGATTTATCCAGAGTCTAGCAGAGACTGGAGCATGGATGAGAGCAAGCAGGCTGATAAGCAACCTGAATGAGGCTGAAGCAATGATTATAGAGTAGGGGAAGCAACTGTCAGAAATGGTGACAATTATACAGAGCACCCTAGGCTGATGGCATATAGGTAGGCCATTTGTTATTCATGTTCACAACCTAGGGTCTTGTTGAAATACCCAGCTCCTCCTGGATATTTAGCTAATAGCTGTTGCTAAGTGCACCTTTTTTTTTAATGGCAAGCTCGATAAAAGAGTTATGGGCTTTTCTCTTGGATTTGAACCCCAGCATGACCACCCAGGTCACTGTCACACCTAATCTAATCTAGTCTAGGAACTATCACTATGAAGTTCTTGGTGCTTCTCAAAAGTTAAAAGTTACAAGGTCAGTTTACTACAATGTACCACACACGGAGTGACTCCCAAAATTCATTCTGAAACTTTGGCTAGCGTGCAATGCAGCTGCCCATCTATTACACAACACTTCTCTGAAGGAGCAGATTGCACCTGTGCTTTGAGATCTGCAGTGGTTACCAAATGAATTCTGCATAAAGTTTAAGGGGTTGGCTTTGACTTTCAAAGGCCTAAACAATATGGGTTCAAGGTACCTGAGGAACCATCTCTTTCCCTACATGAGTGACACCATGGCAGGTTCTGTCAGCTCAGTCACTCAAGATGACAGTCCCAGGTTGAAGCAGGGTGGGAATGGTAACAGACTGCTCCAGAATATGCTTCCATACTTCTGGGTCTGCCAAAGCCTGGATTTAATTCCTTCAGGATGTGCTGTGCTTTCCTATCTTAGCCTCTTTTAGCGGTGGGGCATGGGGTAACATAAGGATGGGGTGGAGAGCAGGTAGTTTTGAATGATGAGGCAGGCTGTTTGTGCTTTGTGATGCAATAAGTGGTATGTTTTATCATGATTGTGTTGTGCTCAGGGATTTGGGCATAAGTCTTAAAATAAATAAATAAACTAAAAAGTAGGCTTAGAAGGATTATATTTTTTGTCAGTAAATGTTGATTTCACTGTACACACACAAACCAGTGAAAAAATATTTCCTTCGATAATAATTGAAATTTACACATAGGCAAAGTAAGAAAAACACTACTTGAGTACATTAGAGTTTAATGTAAGGATATTTTCTCTGTCTACTTTGACATGTGATGCTAACAAGTTGTGTTTTAATGGTTATAAAGCTTTAACTTTTTGAATCTCAACATCTGCTGTGATTAAATAATGATTGTCTAACCCCCACATAATTTTCTTCAACTATGAAAATTTAAACTGATAAAAAAGAAAAAAAAATTAAACCCTATAATTTTGCACAACTGTGAAAATATAAACTGATAAAAATTGAAAAAATGCTTAAAATAAACATCAATATCCATTGAAATTATTAAAAAATAAAAATTGATTCTGCCAAGCCTAAATAAAAGGTAAGTGAGTTTCACTATCACTGAATTCACTATCAATGCGGTCTCCTGCATTTCAGGAATCTGCTGTTTAATAAATTGAGTAGGGGGTGAACACTGAGCACCAATGGGAGTTTTGTCATTGACCTTAATGGGGCCAGGGTTTCATCCCTAATCTCTTATACAATATATTTTATCATTAGTTCTTGCCAAGCTAATGTGAGGGTGCTGGCCAACAAAGTTGCTACCTGGGAACGCAATAAATCCCAGGGCCCTGTTAAGTATTAAGTACTTGGCAGCTCAGCACTGCATCCAGACTTCTCAATGATGCTTTAAAATTTGAGGCAAAGTTAGCAGCACCCCGTAGTTTGGATGGCATTGCTTGTTGCTTGAAGACGCAACATTCGTGGTTGTTTGGATATATGGACTATTGTGGCTTAATTTAATAGCTATGAAAGGCCTGGTTTCTTCAGCACTGGATATATATTAGAGATGGGTTTGTACAGAGGCAAATCTGTATTTAGGACTGAATTTCATGACTCGGACATATACACATGTCCCATACATATGCACATGACGCAGTCATGAAATTCAGACCCAAGAACAGATTTGCTTCTGTACGAGGACATCTCTAATATATATCCAGTACTGAAAAAAAAAAGTCCTTTTCTGACTGATTCTTTTCATACTGGTCTTCACAGATCAGCCCCAATTCAACCTGACACCCTCTTGTTTTTAAAAGTTTTCTTCTTATCTATAGGGGATAAGTTCTCATTTTGTGAAGGGAAGGGGGGAAAGATCCCAACAACTCTTCACAACAGGAAAATTAATTGGTGTTAATTTCTAACCTGGCCAAATCACACTCACTGGGAAGGAGGCTCTCTCAATTAGAAAGTAATTTTTAAAAATCTACCCCTTTCGGATAAAGGATTTTGCTGTGTGTGTGTGGGTAGCGGGGAAGAGAGAAAATGAGACATTACAATCTCATGTTCTATAGAGATGAAATTTTAATATGCATAGATACGGGTTTGTTTCATATAGGTGCATGTATATATGTACATCATCATCTCTATCCATCTAGCTAATCCATCTCGTTTAAAACTCCCTCTTTCAGACAGCTAGCTCATCTACAAGACGATCAGCTCCCAAATCAGCTGGCATGTGACGGTGGTTTTACTGGAGGAAGGGATTCCCCTTTTTCTTTTCCTTTCCAGAAGGAAGCCCGGGGCGCCCTGGCAAAGCCTTGGACGTTTCTCAGAGCTGCTGGCTCTTTGGAGAGGAGCCCTCAGTTGCTCTTTAGCCATTTGGCTTCGCTCCTCCTTTCCCCTCCGAATCAAGCTAGTCTGAGCTTGCAGGGTTTCCGAAGTGGTGGCTGAAGCCGGGACACGTTGGGGGAGGGGGCGGGAAGGAAAGTGGCGGAACACTTGCTGTGGGGAGCTCTGCCCTGGCCCCTCTCCCTGGGGTGTTTGTCGCTGCAGCCTGGGTGCGGGGGGGGGGCTAGCTTGCGCCTGGGTGGCCGCCTGGGAGAGAGGAGAAAAGTGCCGTGCTTTGTACTGGTTTTCCTGCTCAAAGTTCCTGTTTTCTCGGCGCTGCAAGTCTTATGATCCATTGTGTCATCGAGCTCAGCTGGCTGGGGCGAGAGGAAGGAAAATCCCTCCGAGCCAAATTTGGCCCTGCCTGCCTGCCGGGGCGGGGGAGAGAAATGCCATCTCCGGCGGGCGGCGGCGGCGCCTGCTAAGCGACCCGCAGCCGGGGGCGGCGGGGATGCGGGGTCGCCCTGCGGAGCGCAGCTGAAGCCTTGACCATGACGGCTGGCCCCGAACCATGGCCAATGGGAGCGGGACGGTCATGCTGAAATGCGTGGTGGTGGGGGACGGGGCCGTGGGCAAAACTTGCCTGCTGATGAGCTATGCCAACGACGCCTTTCCAGAGGAGTACGTGCCCACCGTGTTTGACCACTACGCAGGTAAGGGGCGCCCGCGATCGGCGCTGAAAGGTGGGCGCGTAGAAGTGCTGAGTAAGAGGCTGCTCCTCGGCGAGAGCAGAACTTGAGCGGAACTTTGCCGTTTTCCAGCCCTGAGCCTCCTGCCTTGACCTTCTTCACACAGGCTGGTTTTAACCCTTCTGTGCCGGGCCTGCCTGCCCACGGCCGCCTCCCCTTGGAAAGGGCCCGCCAGACGAAAGTGCACCCAGAGGATCCTGGCCCAGTATGCTTTAAGTGCTGGGGGGCGATGCCGGCGTATATAAATGTCTGACCGAGACCAACAAATTAAGAAGTGCCTGGAAAGGGTCTAAACAGGACTGCCACTAGCTCTGGGTGCTTGACATGAAAGGACATAAATATTAAACCCATTCTTTCTGCATCCCCAAGTGCATTGCAGATGTGTTCTTCTAGTAGCTTTTTTAGACCTCTGGTTGTTTTTTTTTAATGTTGAGTCTACTTGTATAACTGAAAACACTCCTCTGCCTTTGTTTTTATATGCCCCTTAGCTACATTATTAGCCACACCTTCCTTTTTTCCTCTTTTTTACAGTCACTGTTACAGTTGGGGGGAAGCAGTATCTGCTGGGGCTGTACGATACTGCAGGACAGGTGAGTACTTTCAGATCCAGCCAAAGCGTTAATCCAGCACCTGCAGGTTTTTTATTATTCCAGTCTGAAGTGTTTTCCAAAGCTCAGTTATTTTCATCGTTATATACACACTGATTAATTCAGGGGTGTTCATTTATGTTGGACTGTCTCGCTACACTGATTTGTAATAATCACCTGCTTCCATCAAGTTCCATGTGTTGCCATGTTTTTAAAACCAATGATAAAAACAGGATGTTGGGTTTAAAAAAATAATTAATCAAACTCTTATTCCAGTCAGCTGTGGTAGACTTTATTTTTAGTTTGAAATGGCCAGGTCCTCTTGAGTT